CACCGCGCGGCCCCCGGAGGCGATTGGCGGCCGCGGGGAGGGCGGGCGCGGATTGGCCGCGCCGAACAATGGGCGCGCGGCGGGGCGCGGAGCGGCGCGGATCTCCCCGGAGCTCCCCGGAGCTCCGCCGGGCACCGGCATCGCGAGCCCGACACGGAGCGCGGAGGGCGCGGCGGCGGCCCCGGGGGACGGGCGGTGGCGTCGCTTTCCCCGCGTGCCCCGTGTTTCCCTCCTTCCCGCACTGTTCCCCGACCTTGCCGTCGCCGTGCATTTTCTCCTCTTTGCGCTCCCCTTCACCGCCCCGCCTCCCGTCCCCGTTTTCGTTGCCGCCGCTCCAGGTTTCGCTGCGGGGTGATGCTGTCAGGAGCCGGACACCGGCGGCCGCCCCGACGTTCGCGGCCGTCGGCCCCGTCGGGGCGGCCGTTCCCGCTAGCGGCCGCCCGGCCGGCCGGGATCAGCGGGAACAGCCGCGCGTTGCGGCGCCTCCGTGCACCTGATCCCGCTGTGCTCCCGCAGAGAAACCTCCCGCGTTTCTTTTTTTTCCCCTCCGTTCTACTCATCCCCCCTCCCCCAGTCTCCACGGGCTCTCTGTGCATTAGCGGAGCAATAAGCAGAGCACTCCAGCGGCCTCTGACTCGGTTTTAAATTCCCGCAGACTTTACGGCACGGCGGCAGGAGCGGCTCCTTGAGAACGCCGGCACGGCGGAATCGCTGCTGCCCCTGGGGCTTCGCGCCCGCCCGCCCAGCCGTGCTGTCGCCTCCCCAACGCGCAGTGCGTTGCGGGACGTGTGACGGGCGCGGGTCCACCTGCGCGGGTGCGGAAGGATGCGGTGGCCGCGGCTGCGCTCGGAGAGGTCGGGCTGTGGAGCGGCCAGATGGGTGCTCCGACCTGAGCACCGGCTCCGTGGGTCCGGCAGCCCTCGGCTGTGACACCGCAGAGGAGCGGGAGAGGAGGACTTGGCTAATCGGGGCCGTCTGTTTGACCAGCATCCCCCGCTTTGAGATGCTGAAAGCGGCCGCGTCGTGCATTTGTGCGGGAGCTGCGGGGGGAAGAGCTGCGGTGTTTGAGGTCATCCTTCAGCCGGGGCATTTGGGCATCCCTGCCCGCCTCCCGGAGCGTTCCGCCGGTGCCCGCGCATCCCCCGGCTGCATGGCAGCGGCACCGTGGGGTTCGCAGCTGATTGCTGCCCGTCACCGGAGTGCTGAGCGGAGCCGGGTGGTGCGGAGGGCTCTGACGGCGGGCTGCCGGCTTTTCACTGCGGCATTCCCCGAGGGGCAGGTGTCGGGGGCCTGAGTGAGTCAGTATCTGCGTGTTACCGGCAAAACGCAGAAATGAAATGTCAGATTACAGGAGGACGAGGCGCATGTAAGGATAGGGCGGTTCGGCAAGCAGGTTGCGTGTTGCATCGCTCCTTTTCCCACTCGAGGGCAAGGTTCTCTATGCTCACCCAAACCTCCCTCCGTCTGGAGAGCAGGAGAGGTTACAGCAGGGCCAGCCCAGCGCCCCTGCCCTGCCAGGCTCACCTGTGCCAGCGCGCACCGTGCAGAGCCCAGGAGGGGCTGCACACGTGGTCAGACAGGCGGGGTTTGGGCAGGTAGGGGCAGCGCGCTGGAAAACCCCAAGAATTCAATTGCCGCGGAAACACCAAAAACACCAAAAGCCCCGGACCTCCTGCAGAGATGTGCAGTGACTGCAGGTAACGCCAAGAGGCACAAAACCAGCACCTCGCGGCCCCGAGCAGGGGCTGGTTGCTTGGAAAACAGCTTTCAGGTTGGCTGGCATTGCTAGGGAGCCGTGAGTGGAAGCCCGATGCCCTCCCTCGGGCTGACGCTCCCTGCTGCCCCCGGTTCCCCTCTGCAGCTCTGGGGGCAGCCGGGGCCGGCCGTGGTGCGGGGGGTTGGCATCGCAGCTGCTCTCCGTGTAGCAGCTCTCCGGGTTGTGCTGCCACATACAAACACGAGTTGCCTCTAGAAAGGGGAAACGGTGACAATTTTGTTGTTTGCAGCAGATTGCAAAGGCAGTGAATGGCGATTCTTTCCGAGCCAGCCGTGGATTAAGTCCATTATAAAATTAAAACAGATGGAACGCAATTTCACTTGCATTACAAAAAAGGACAGGAACCATCTGCAGTAAGATTTAGCATTGCAGAGCTATTGTTATCATGTTACCATTAAAACCTTTGAAGAAGGGTTTTCTTTTCTTTCGGAAACTCGTCCGCCTGAAACAAATGTTTTCTTTCTCCGTCTCTCTCAGATAATGATATTTTATGTAAAAACACGACGTCTCTCTGCCACAGCTTTGGCTCCAGCGAGATATGCTGAAGCAGAGGTGGTAAAACTTCAGCATTGAACTCTTTGGGTCTTTGGTGGGGAGGATGTGCCAAAATATCCCCCGTGCTTTCTTCCTTTAAAAACATTTCTTTGGGTTTGGGGACAATGTCTGATACTGAAAATAGATAATTAATGAGATAATGGGATACTGCATGTCACCTCCTGTCCGATGGGATTATCTGATGGCTAATTATGGACAGATTGTGATTAATGTGATTATGGATTGGTTATTAATCTGATTCTGGATTGATCTAGTTATGTTTTAGTCTGCTCCAAATGGTTAATTGGATCTGAGATAATAGAAATGCAGCTTGCACCAGATTTTGCCACATCAGTTGATGAAGTATCTTTTGATCTGGGTGGGTTGCGAACAATAAATTATTTACAGCTGTTGAGAAAATGACTCTTCCTTAGAATGTAGCCATTCATTTTATTTTCGAGGGCCTTTGAAAACAAAATCAATATCCTTTTTAAAAGGAGATGTTGACAAAAGAAAGGCACGTACATAACTCACAAACAAATGTGACGAAATTAAACAGCGGTTAACCCGGTGGCCCAATGTCTGGTGATGCATTTGAATTGCTATGTGGAGCTTTGGGCTCAATTCTTCTGAGACCAGCAGGGGTTGGGAGCATTGCAGGGGAAGAGGGCCCAGCTCTGCAGAAAGTGGTATTGCACAAGAGCTGCTGCCAGCCCTGCTATTGATTAAGAATCAGCCGTGGTAGAATGGCAAAGGGAGTCCTTGCCACCCTGTCCCCTCCGGGTAAGAGGGATGCAGAAAGCTCGTGGGCTCATCCCACCACCTCGTCTGACTCCCTCTGCACCAGGCCCTGCACTTGGCCTGGTGTTATTCTTTCTCCCCTCACACTGAGCCCATTGATTTCTGGGCGACCTCAGAGATGCGTCTGGTCTGGATGCAGCCTGCCAGCATGGGAGAGGCTGCCTGGATCCCTGCAAGGCCGTCCTGCTGCCTCCCTACTTTCACTGAAGTGCAAATTGAGTTCACATTTTTGGGATCTTGTGCCATTTTCTGCGGTGGCTGTGATGTAGGGGTTGAGAAATGGGGCTGGGAGGAGAGTCGGCACCAGGTGGGATGGGCAGCAGGTAGCTCACAGAGGTGCCGGCAATCAAGCAGGTCTCAAAGCTCTGAGAACAGGTTTATTGAGGCTGAATTGAAGGAAAAGAAAGGAAAAGCAACTTTCCTTTTTCTATGCTGCCATTCCCCCAGGTGCCCGTGCTGCTGCAGGAGTGCTGGGCTGCTGCCAGCGCCCCCATCCAGGTTCCTCCCTCCCCAGCAGCACAGAGGGCAGAGGAAGCAGCTCCTGCTTAAAAAATAATGCCATACAAGCCAATGGTGCATTTTACACACATCTCCCATTAGCAAGGAGGTAAGGCACGCACTGGAGGAGGGATGCAGGGTACCGCAATGGGCACTGTGCAGGGCGGAGAGGAGTGCTCTGCAAGGGACCCCTTCCTTCCTCCCTTCCTGCAGGATGGTGTAGCAGGAGCTGCCTGCTCAGGGAGCCTGCTCTATGTGCTGAAGGTGCCTGCATACATCCCTCCTTGCCTGTCCTTGGCAGAATGACTGTTTCTTGCTCAGACAGTGACTTGCACTTGGGGAGCACTGGCAGCTTGCAGGCTTATCACTGCGCCCTTATTACCTGGTCTGCACCTGGAAATGGTTGATGAGAGATGGCAGAGAAGGGGAAACACCGGTTAGCAGTGGCTTTGCAGGCTTTGTAGGGATGGATGGCTGTTGGGATGCTGCTGAGGGAGTGCTCCTCTCTGCACCCTGTGTTGGAGATGGGGCTGGTGGGGCTGTGCTCACCTGAGGGCTCACAGAGGGACTTGTGACAGACAGAATGCTGGTGGCAGATGTGGGTGGGTGCCTGTGAGGTGATCTGGGCAGAGTATTAAGCTACACCGTGCTGGGGTTTTACACCAAAAGAACCCAAAAGTGTCAGGCTTGTGTCTGTGGCAGGTGGGTGAGGAGCCAGGCCTTGGGGAGGTGCATGCCATCCTATTGCCACTGGCCCCACCTCTGTGGGGAAGGGCTTTGCAGCACTCAGGCACAGAGTATTTCAGCAGCAGAGCTCTCCCAACTCAGGTTGTCATCTTGTGTCTCCCCCCACAGGCACCTGCCTGGCCCTGGGCTGCAGATCCTGCACTCTGAGCCCTAAGCAGGTTGCAGTTGCTTTAACCTTATTGGATTTTGACAGATTAGGAGGAGAATCCTTTCGTGTGGTGGAGAAGCCTCCCAAATGAAGCTCTTCTAATTTATCTGAGTCAGCTCTGCCTGGCGGTGGTGGGAGGAGTAAGCTGAGGACCCCTGCCAGAGGGGACCATCATAGCAGTAATAAAAAATATATATATTCCTTCCCTTCGCTAAATTCCATAGCTGTGAGGCTGTATTAGCTGGATTCCATATGTTTTAATTAGGAATTATGTATTTTAAGGGAACCAAAATCTGATTCTGATGGAGACGTGGCAATGCGTTTGTGATGGCTACTGTTCCGTGTTCCTTCTGTCAGAGGCCCCAGGGCAGGCACACCTTTGAAACCCTTTTATTCTAAGTTAGAACAACTGCATTATTGATTTGCCTCCCACCCCAAGAGTGTGAAAAAATGTAATTCCCTTTCAAATACAGAAATTGGGTCAGCAGATACTAATGAAATAATCCTGGATAACAATGCACTATAAATGGATCTGCTTCCACTAATTAATGGCTCATTTTTCTTTCAGAATAGAGTCATATCCTCTGCCCACTGGCAGGATGATGACTCTGGTGCTGGCAGCACCTACCTGGTGCAGTTTTACTATGTTTATTGTTGTTGTGCTGGAGGTGGGAAGGCCAAATTAACAAAGAAAAAAAAAAAAGAGCTTTTTGCCACCGTTCAGCTAATATGGATATAATCCCCAGCTGATTACAGTTATAAGCACCTCCAACAGTGGCCATACGTGATAAAGACTTCCTTTGTGCTTCAGGGAATAATCCGCATCAAGCCAGTTTCAATAAAGATTACACGCATCTGAAGTGTTGAGGGTTTTAAATTAAAATTATAGGCAGAAAATACAACAAGGAGCCTGATGTGCCTCCAGGCTGGTGACACTACGCCCAGAAACCTGACCTTGGGGATGCCTGCAGCACGCTGCCCATCCAAAGACACCACATGCTGCTAAAGAATCCACTGCACTGCAGAAGAATCAACTCATTCTGGGCTCTGAAGCAAGTAGGTCAGTTTGGATGGAGATGCTCGTGGTTGTTTTGGGGTGAAGCACCAGCAAACCTCATAGCAGCAAACCAACAAGCAGGAGCTCAGTGGAGATCATAGAGTCACAGAACCATGGAATGGCCTGGGTTGAAAAGGCCCACAATGTTAATCTGGTTCCAACCCCCTGCTGTGTGCAGGTCACCAACCAGCAGCCCAGGCTGCCCAGAGTCACATCCAGCCTGGCCTTGAATGCCTGCAGGGATGGGGCATCCACAGCCTCCTTGGGCAGCCTGTTGCAGTGCATGTTGCAGTGTGTGATACAGGGTTCAGGTGCAGGTGGCTGCTCTCCTCTCCCCCAACACGTGCTCTCTCCTTCTGTAAGCTGGAAGCTCATTTCTGGAGCTGAACACAGCGTGCCACGGCTTTAATGAATGAAACGCATTAACGACAAAGAGAAGCAGGGCAGGCAGTGCTGCTCAGGATGCTCTTTGCATCCTTATTTTGCCGCTGTTCTTTTAGGCTACGCGGGGTGCAGTAGGAGGGGTTGTGCACTGTATGAACTTCATCTGTAAAGGGCTCCTCTTACGTTGTTTTACTGGCTTGGAATAGGGTCTAGCACGGAGCACGGGCTCGGGGCGCTCAGCCGCCCGCTGTTTGCTCCTCTGCACGGAGCTCCCCGCCTTCAACCGTCCCGCCGCCGGGGGTGACGCTCTCCTCCGCTGTCCATTGGCTTCACGCCGCGACCAATGAGGAAGCGGTGCGGCGCGGCGGCTCTCGCGAGATCGGCGGCTGAGCGGGACGGCGGAGCCATGTTGCGGGCGGCGGCGGCGGCGCGCGGCGTGAGGAGGGCGGTGAGTGAGGGCGGCGGGGGCGGGGGTCGGCACGGCCGGCTGCTGAGGTTGGAGCCCGGTGAGGGGGGGTGGTCCTCGCAGCCGCTCGGAGCCTGCTGTGCCCGCGGGAGGCTGTGGCGCTGCGAGCCCCGCGAGCTGCAGCCGCGGTTAATCACCGTGCCGCCCTTCGCGGTGCCGCGCCGTGCTGCGCTGTCACGCTGCTCGCGTTACCGAACGGAGCGGCGAGGTGAGCTCAAGGACGGCCCCGCGGATGTGCGAGCAGCGAGCCTAACGGGGCTCGCGGTCCCGCCGCTTTGGGGTCCGCTCCGAAGAAGCACTAAGAGCGCTAAAACGAGAGCGAAAAGCACGGGCGGCTGCGTGGCGTGCGGCACTGAAGGCACAGCTGTTGCAATCGCGGTGATGGAGTTCGGCCCCGCGCCTGCTGGAGCAAAGGTCGTTGTGAGGAGCAGCTGTGCGAGTGGTTGGCTCCGTTAGTCAGCTGCTGGCACTGCTGCCCGCGGGGGCCGTGCTGCCCAGCACGGAGGTGCGCAGGGTTGTGGAGCCTGGAAGCGTGAGGTCGGCTGGTTGGTCGGCTGTGTGCGCCCGGAGTGCTTATGTATATAGATAATGGGCTTGTTCGGCTTGGGAAAGAAGGCTCGGGGAGACCTCGGTGTGGCCTTCCAGTGCTTGAAGGGAGTGTATGAACAGGAGGGGAACGGCTGTTTGTGAGGTTGATAGTGATAGGACTAGGGGGAATGGTCTTAAACTGAGACAGGGAGATATAGATTGGATATGAGGAGGAAGTTTTTCACACAGGGTGGTGAGGCACTGGCACAGGTTGCCCAAGGAGGCTGTGGATGCCCCATCCCTGCAGGCATTCAAGGCCAGGCTGGATGTGGCTCTGGGCAGCCTGAGCTGCTGGTTGGTGACCTGCACACAGCAGGGGGTTGGATCTACGCAATCATTGAGGCCTGTAAAGTATAAGCAGTAAGAAGAGGTCGGAGCTGCATATCTTCGTGAAAAGAGGACTGAGAGGTACAGGTCCACAAGTACAGGAATAATTGGTGCAGATGTGGGAGTGAGCCATTTCAGTGGTAGGTGCAAATAAAGTTATATTAGTGGGCTTAAATTACAAGGCAGAGTGTTGGGAAGAGCAAAGATAGGCATTAAGAAATCATTTCTAATAGAAAGCATGGTAATTTTTTGGAATATCTTGCCCAAGAGTCATTGTGCTGATGGCAACCTAGATGTGTGTTGGAACTGTCATAGATTCAGCTGCTTATTGCATGGGCTCCTGAAATGTCAGCTTGTAATAATATTAAACTGTGGTGATCAGAATTGTCTTGAGGTCACACATTCCTATCTCTATAAAATAGCAGATCATGTATTCCCTTAAAATTCTTTATTATTATTATTATTTTTAAGTATTTGTCCCTTCAGTCTTTTTTCCTCTTCCTCGTAGGACATCGCACAGCACTTTAAGGCCATCACCTTCTAAATCTGTACCCAGTTGTCATTCAGCCTGTGCAGGTAGGCCTTACAAGGGCAAGCAAGCAGTGTTAGTCTTGGCTGCTTAAAGACTGAAGTGAATTGATCACCCTCGCTCCATGCTCCCTCAAAAAAGATTGACAGTGAAGGGCACTGTGGCTCTCCATTTAAGAACACCATTTCACAGTATTTTAGGGGATGGTGACCCAGTTTTCACTGCTGCTGAGTCTTTTGGCTTCTCTTCACTCATTCAGAGCTCGCAACTCCCTGCTATTTCTGAAAACAGCGCGTTTTATTTCATACCCATATGTATGTGTGTATGTGCTTATATTGTGATGAACATGTGGGTTTTTAGTTTTGTTTTTGGCTTGAGGGACTTCAGATAAATGGATTTAATAGCCTGGAACGCTGCAACAAATGACGACCTTGCAGGAGAAGTGCTGGGTTGCGTTTGAAGGTTGTGAGAGTACTTTGCATCTGTCCTTCAGTTGGCACTGGTGGCTCAGAGAGGTGGCTGCCTTTTTTAGCAAGGTCGTTTATCTTGAGTTTACTTTCAGTAGCTTTGTCTGTATTTACAGACAGCTTTGCTTTGAGTTTTATTAACAACCTGTGTGGGGTACACCTGGGAAAACTTCTTTACTACGTCTTTCTTTTGCTGCTTCAGTTCCTTTGCAGTCACGTCTTGATTATTCTCGATTCCTAAATAAATTTTTAAGCATTTTCTTAATTTCTTTTGGTGTTCTCTGTTGCAGTTGCAGCTTCTTTTCAGCTTAGGTGACTTCAGTGTTATTTTTCCAGTTAGTGTTTCCTGAAGTTCAGTAGCTGTGTCTCAGACCTCTTCTGCTGCCAGGTGGTTACAGAAGCTCTACAAGTATAAACTTTATTGCCAGGTCTCCCTGATTGTATTGAGCTTGCCAAATATGTATATATGAATTTATTTAAGCTTTTCAGCTATGAGAGTGTCTTTTAATTGAATTAAGCATTATTTTGTTGTATGGGAATGCAGCCACCCTAAACCTTTGCTTGGAGTCTATTTTTAGGATTCTTTTCCTTCCAGTGCTAATGGGTCTGTATGAGATACCCGATTCCTATTAAGCAATTTTAGAGTGCTATTCTCTGGCCAGTTTGCTCTTACAGCTAAGAAGATGCTGTCTGTAGATTGACTGTGGGCAGTTCAGCATTGGCTGCAGAGGCAGTTGAGTCACCAATCCTACCAAACAGTAAGGAAAGATAGTAAGGAAACAGCCTTGTCTGTGATTTTTTATTTATTTTTTTTGTGGTTAGTACATGTATTTTATAGTATATAAGCACTAAATTTGTATTTAAGAAGTGCTGGACCTCTATGCGCTGTACGGGTGATCTGAAAGTCCAACATGCATTTGATTTTCATTATCATTGCTGTGAGAAGGCTGCAGAGCTTTTGGCGTGGTTCTGCACCACATCCTTATCTCTAAATTGGAGAAATATGGATTTGAAGGCTGGGCTGTTTGGTGGATAAAGAGTTGGTTGAGTGGTTCCAGGAGAGGGTTGGCAGTGGCTCCCAGGTGGAGGCTGGTGATGAGGGGTGTCCCCCAGTGTTCTGTCTTAGGGTGGGTGCTCTTCATCATCTTCATAGATGACATAGAAATGGGATCAAGTGCACACACAGTGAGTTTGCTGATGGCACCGAGCTGAGTGTGCAGTTGATACGACAGAAGGAAGGGAAGCCATCCAGAGGGTCCTGGAAAGGCTTGAAAAGTGGAACCTAGTGAGGTACAACAGGGCCAACTGCAAGGTGTTGCGCTTGGGTCGTCAATCCCAGGTAGGAACACAGGCTGGGAGAAGAATTCATTGAGAGCAGCAGTGTCCTTAAGTGGGTCCTGGGCACGAGCCAGCAGTGTGCTCCTGCAGCCTGGAAGGCCAACGGTGTGCTAGGCTGCATCAACAGAGGGGTGGCAGCAGGGAGAGGGAGGGGATTCTCTTCCTCTGCTCTGCCCTTATGAGGCTCCATCTGGAGTTCTGTGTCCAGGACTGGGACCACAGTGTGGGAGGGATGTGGAGCTGTTGGAGCGGGTCCAGAGGAGGGCTACAGAGATGATCAGAGGGCTGGAGCACCTCTCCTGTGAGGAAGGGTTGAGGAAGCTGGGCTTGTTCAGCTTGGAGAAGACAAGGCTCCAGGGAGACCTCATGGTGGCCTTCCAGCACTTGAACGGAGCTTACAAGCAGGAGGGGCACTGACTTTTTACATGGTCTGAGGGTGACAGAACAGGGGAATGGCTTTGAAGTAAAGAAGGGTAAATCTAAGTTAGATATTAGGAAGACATTTGTTACTCAGAAGGTGATGAGGCAATGGAACAGGCTGTCCAGAGAGCTGGAGGTGCCAAGAACAGGTTGGGTCAGATCCTGGGCAACCTGGTGTAGTGGGTGGCAACTGCTCACAGCCGGGGGTTGGAACTGGATGATCTTTAAGATTCCCTCCAAGCTCAGCTGTTCTGTATTCTGTGATCACCTGTGCAAATTAAATGAGCACTGAGTGGGTGTGTGGCTTGTAGGCCTTAAGCATGGGTTTGTCTGTGCACGTGTAGCCGATGTGTGCTGGATCTCTAACGTTTGGCTGGGACAGGAGCAGTGAGGAGTCCTGGTTGTTTGCACAAAGTCTGGAATTCCTGTGATTATATTTAAGGTTTTTGTATTCTGCTTGGAAATCACTGCTGGGTTTCTCAAGTGGGGAGCAGAAAGATGCCTTGGTGTAACTTGAGAGGATGATGGATTCACTGAATCCTTTGGTACCCTGCAAGTGACTGGCGTGGTGTACCCTGCACGCTTGTTTGGGTTAATCTCACCATCTGGAAGCCAGAGGCCAGGTTTGCTCTGCATTAAATGGAGGAGGGAGGGAGTTGAGAACTCCAGACATTTTTCCTTCATAGGTGTTTATTTGAGTGCAGGCTGAATCACTGTCTGGAGTTGCCCACAGAAAGGAAGCGTGGATGTTTCCACTGTAGAGGGAGCATGGGTGCATAGTGTACATCTGTGTCCAAATAAATTCCTGTCATGTGGTTACTGTCCTATTCTTCATGGTAAACTGGTGTGCTTGTGAGAAGGCTCTTGATTGCCCAGGTCTGTAGGATGTTTAATTGTGAATAGTTGTGACGTGACTGTAAGTTGTTGAAAAAGTGAGCTATTTGCCACAAAAGCACAGATTTATTCTTCAAATGGGGACCAAATCTCGTGTCTTTTATTGCAAATGATGTACAAAATAAATATAATCAGAAATATGCTGGTCTGTATTGGCAATAAATGTTTTTTTTTTTGTAAATCTGGCAATTGGCTTCAAGTGTTCTTAGAATCTTTAATCCTAACAAGTAGCCTTAAGCGTAGGAGATGAAATGCAGAGTACTTTTACAAGAATCCTTATTGTTAAAAAAAAAAAAGACTAATTATGGTCTTTATTCTGTGGAAAGGTACCTTTTTATTTATATCTTTATCGTCCCAAGGAAGTCCTTGGTTTGCTTTCTCTTTGTGAAGTCTGCTGTGCTGATGATACACACCTTGCCTGGCTGAAGTCTGTGTCCACGTTTCAGCTCTCAGGTTTTCTGAAGCTTTATTTTCTGCTTGAAATGCTTGGTGTGCACGTGTTTGTTGTGAGTGGAAATGCCTTTAGAAAATAAGTTAGAAGTAGTGCCGTCCAGCCTTCAGTTTTTGCTAGCATTTATCTCCCTGCCTTTCCACTACCTCGGTGTTAGTCTGGGCAGTGAAAAGGATCAATGAAGCACCCTTTTACTGTGGTGGTAGCTGAGTGGTCAGTAGCATCTTATGTTGTGAAAGCAAACACATTATCTACAGCTGAACCTGGTGCTGTTCAGCAGGCTTTATTAATATGTTTGTTTTTAGACTGGGAGCCTTTGATGCTTATTGCTATCCTGCTACTTACTGCCTCCAGTTCTGTTGTTGCAGATAACTGATTACAACAGTGAGTTCTCTGGAAAGATTTTGGCTAAAACATACGGGGAAATAAATCAGTAAGACAAGTAACTACTGCTTACTCTTGATTTCCTGGGGTCTTAAACTCAGTTGTCTAATCCTCATGTGAGTTTCAGTCTACAGCCATGAACTATCTTCATGTTATGCTCACACTGAATTCTGTTCACTCTTTTTGTATTTCAGTTGATCAGCTGAGCTTCAATGCGTCTTACTGTGGCTTTCTTCTTAAGGCTGTCAGTATTTTCCTGTGAAGGTTTTAGTTGAAAAGCTGCATGTTGTAGCTGTGCTGAAGTCAACCAAGTTTGTACATTCCTTATAATTATTAACTAGTACTGAAATATTCTGCCTACCTCATAGAAATGATGTAGATTTAGCCTGTTTTGTTTGACAGCAGCAGCTGTTGATCAGCATAGCCAATAGCTTTCTGTAGAGCATTGAATGCTCCCAGGAACCTTTCATTTATTTAAATGCAAAGTATTCAACTCTCTCTTTCTCTCTTGGAAGGCATCGCTGCTGCACCAGTTTCAGAGGCTTCAGAGTACGTTGGTCATAGCAGAACACAACAATGAGACTCTTACACCCATTACACTCAATGCAGTCACTGCAGCAAAACGTCTCGGAGGCGAAGTTTCCTGTTTGGTTGCTGGGACCAGTTGTGACAAGGTGGGAAATCCTGTTTTCATTTGAATGAATTAATGAATGCCGTGGAATTCTATGTGGTAGCATCTCGGCTAACTTGAAAAATAATCTGGTGAAAAGGAGCTGTGCCATGAATTGCTAATCTACAGGAAATGTGCTGCACTTGAGCTGCTTCTCTTCTGAAGTGGAAATGTGGGTATTGTTTTAATTTCACAAGGAGGAATATCAGAATAGGCTGTTACAAGTTAAGCAAGCATGTTTTTATAAGACTGTAGGACAAATGAACTCTTAAAACTGTTCTCCTGTAAAGTTTGAAAGGTAAATAATGCAGTGCTGGGAACCTGGGAGAAAAAACCTTGCACTGTGCAAGGAGAGATCAGCAGAAATGAAAGGGCACAATGTCAGGTGAGGCTTTGTAGTGTCTGCCTTTCAGTGGTCACTGCTGGTAGCAAGAGTGTCTGCAATCACTCTGTGGATAATCCAATCTGTATTTGCTGTTGTGTTGTCAGTCTGATTTTTGTGAAGTGCAGAATCTGGGGTCAGTGTACCTTTAGTTTGTGAGAGGCACTCTTACCCCAGCATGATGTTGTCTGACATGAACAAGAACAATAAGAACAACTGTGCCTAATTTTTTAATATCAGGCTATTGCTTAGGAACTGTGACTCTGAAAGGGCCATACGCTGTCTTGTGCAGGAGGCACAGTCACAGCAGTTAATTCACAGGTGACTGAATAAACCTTACTCACTGTTGCAGACTGATTCTGAACTGAGACTCAGGTGCTCAAGGTTGAGATTGGAGACATACTTACCTGGATCAGTTAAAAATAAAACAACAGCAACAGCGAAAAGAAGCCTGATTTGTCTGTCTGTGGATTTCCTTCTTCTTTGATTATTGATTTATTTATTTATTTATCTATTTTGTGCTTGGATAATAGAACAGTGATTGGGAATGCTTTGTTTGTTTGGGGTTCAGTACCAAAGCATGTGGTGTCTGTTTGGTAGTGTCCATCTTGCTGGGGAAAAAGTTCTTCACAGAAAATGAAATTGATTATTTTTTTTTAAGCTTTGTAAGAATCTGTGTCAGTAGGACAAAAGAGCCAGTTACTCAGATATCCCATAACAGCTGCTACAGAATATTTGTTTGTTTCCTCTTGTTAGATTTTAAGGCTAAAGCTGATTCTCAGCAAACTTAGTAAAACTGCATTTTGGTGGTGATGCATGTGGCCTCCAGACATTGCTGTCAGTCTTTTCTCTGATCTGTAACAGCCCTTTCATCATTTAAACTTCACTTCTGCAAATACAAAGGACAAAATTGCATAAAGATAGCATTGGAAATAGACATCACATCAGTAGGCAGTCAGCTGCAGAGGACTGCTGCTGAAATTTGGGCAAAGATTGTAATAACATTGCTGTTCTTATTTGCTTGGTGTGCCTCTGCAAGTAGATACTGACTGACGTAGAAAGAATATAGGATTGTTGTCTTTGATTATGTTAAAATGCTTAGTAATTATCTTGGAGTGAGACAATTATTAGCTGTTGTCATAAAACACGAGATGGCTGTGTAGTCTCTTGTACTGGGCAATCTGTGCTAGGTTTGCTTTACTCTGTAGTTCTCTTATTGCCAGGATTGGTTTGCAGTGCCCTGTAAGGCGCTGTGCTGTGAGTCAGAAGATCTGCAGCTCGTTCTGTAAGGTTTGTGCTAACTCCTACACGATGTGCTTTTGTGTTCCACTTTGTGTTCATCTATAGAGGGCGAGCAGTTTGCGTTAGGGACTAATTAGGAGCTATCTCCTGCTGTCTGTCTGTGATGCTTGCCACTGTGGAGCTCTGTTTGGCTGAAGCCTCCGTGTGCTCTTGTAATGCAAACTAATAACGATTGGTTTGTAATCACAGGTAGCACAAGAGCTCAGCAAGGTGCAGGGTGTTGCAAAAGTGCTTGTGGCTCAGCACGACCTATTCAAGGGATTTCTAGCAGGTGAGACTGGTTCTTTCTTATCTGTTGACCGAAGAAGCAGTATTGGGATTTGTGACTGATGATAAAATAGTTGTAAACTTGTATTTTTATTCTCAGAGGAGCTGACTCCCTTGGTTTTGGAAACTCAGAAACAATTTAAATACACTCACATTTGTGCTGGAGCATCTGCCTTTGGGAAGGTGAGTAAATCAAAATGCATCAAACAATTCTTGCAGAACAGAGAGGCATTTTTGTATGTGTGCCTGAGAGAGGGTCTGCAGATCAGCCCTGGACAATTCAGAGTGTCCTAAAAACGTGACAGCAGTGCACTGAAGAAGCCAGTAGCTGCTTCTGAGTTCTCTTATGGGCTGACTTGAGCTAAGGGGCAGTGGAGAGGCTCAGTAGTAGTAGCCAGCTAATTGTATGTGCCTAAGGCAAAGTGTATAAAATGTGTAAGAACACAGAATACTTAAAGGTATCTGAAAGCCTTATGAAAATGCAGTAATTGGGGATGAAAACCCGGTAAACTGTTTTTGGTGACTTTTGTTTCACTTCTAGTATTATTAGGATTGTTATGTAGTTTTCATATTGAAATGAAAGCGTGCAGACCTGTCGGCAGCAAACTCTTTTGGGGGAGGAATTGCATCTGTGATGTAGGTCTTTAGATTGAAATGTCTGTAAATATATATAAATAATACAGATCCAAGATCTAGCCAAGATGTTTTGTGAAGAAAATTGGATTTTTCAGAACTTTTTAACAAGTACATACTTAAAAATGTGCTTAGATATATGGAGAGCCCCAGTACTGACAGTCAGGTAATGTTGTGGTGCAGCTGAATTAGAGAAAAAAGGACATTCTGGAAATGTTGCCAACGTGGAATGAATAATGACATCAGCCTTCCTTCTATTTTTACTTCCAATCAATATCAATCCATATAATTGTAATTTTGCTAAGAGAAAAATCCTTACATGCCCCAAGTCTGAGTCATTCCATTTTTCATTTATTTGTGATCTGCAGTGCCTTGGTTAATGTCTTGCTTTAAAGCTTATGCTCCCATCATCAAGTAGTGCTTTACTGGAGGAGTCAAGCAGTGACTGTTGTCATGGCTGTGAGTAAAGATGACCGAGCAGGGCTCTGTGGTGTACCAGGTTAGCAGAGGGAGAGAGAGAGCAAGTTAAGCTCTTGCTGTCCTTAATTTCTCAATGCCTTCTGCTGCTCTTTCTATCCTTTTCCCCATGCCCTGTAGTTCTAAATAATTCTCTAGAGCTAATTTCAGAGTAAGGGGATATATATTCTAACAGTAATTTTTAAATAGTAAATTTTTGGCTTTTTTTGGGTAGGAGAGTAGTGTTTTCCTCCTGCTGTTGTCTCTGATAAATGGCTTCCAAGATACTTTTTGTTTTTCTTTTTTTTGTTGTAAGAACTCAGCCATCCATAATTGTCAATTTTCCAAGTAAATCGCATCTGTATTCAGTTCTAAATTATTGAAGCAAACGAGCCTCCTAATTTAAGATATTCAATTAGGGGGTTACTTACTGTAAGGATCATAACATTTCTAATGTTATTACAGTGCTGGGTTCTTATTTGGCTGCTAAAGCTGTGTAGTCCTGCAGTCGTGTTACAGTCGTATGTGCCTACTTAGTCATAGACAGCAATCTGTGAGCTTAAGATCAGGTCAGCAAACGTTCCTTTATTTAATATGTGCATTTCACCTTATTTCCTTTGCATTTTCTCACATGCAGTGTGCAGATAACAGCATTTATGTTGCTGACTTTTAATCTTTGACTTGTAGAATCTTATTCCCAGAGTGGCTGCTAAGCTGGATGTTGCTCCTGTTTCTGACATCATTGAGATCAAATCACCCAACACTTTTGTGAGAACTATCTATGCAGGTAAGCAGTCACAACAGCTGTGTGGTGCTCATGCAATAAAGTACTTAATACTGGTAACTTCTTACAGTCCAGCTGTTAGAACATTGGAATATTTTAGGAATGTTCACCTTACAATCTAAATTGCTTAAAAATCCAACGTGGTGCTCTTTGTGAGAATCCGAGCACTGGTAACTTTGGTGCTGTAGGATTTTAGATGGAAACCAGCTCCTTCACTTTAATTAGTAGAATTCAATCTCCTTTATACATACTCAGTTTCTTTGTTTAATGTATTTCTGATTTGATTTTGTAAAACATAAAACATTAAGTTAATTGTCTGACATTATTTAATATGACTTCCATTAGCTCTGATTTGAGCTGCCACGGGGTTGTTTTCTCTAATTATGAAGACATTGCACTGATTATTTATAATATTTAATTGATGTAATTTGTAATTCTTTTATCAGCCTTTTTTTTTTTTTTTTGGTAACTCTGTTCTGCCCCTCTGTTTTAATTCAGAGATGGACTCCTTAGCTTGTGTTTCTTAATGCTACTGTTCCACATACACCAATGTGGTATTTTGAGTTACGCTCTCAGCTTGTGGTTGCGTGTTGTTTTTTAGCTGCTTTTCAGTAATTGGCAGTTTCAAGATAATTTTGTTTATTAACACCTGGTGTTGTAGCACTTTTTGAGTTTAGTTTTTAGCCTGTGAAAATAAGTACCTTATGCAGTCTGACAGAAAACACGATCGAAGTCATACTACGGTATAACAGATCATTATTATTACAGATCTCTCTTTATGCTTAAGAACAGTGGTTTCAAAGGTGTGTTTTCCCTCATGACATGTAAAAACGCTTGCAAGGGGTGATTTAAATGTGCTGACTGCCTTAAAAATGAAGCAATTTTTGTCGTACTGCAGAAACATGGAGTTCAAAGTCAATCAGAACACTGGAAATGAACAGCTTAAAGAGTGCCTGGGTTCCCAGTTCTCATCATCTAAAAGTTTTATTTTTGGCAGGAACTTTGTGTCATGTGTGTGATGTCTTCTGTAAAAACATGATCGTTCTTCACTAGGAAATGTTCTTTGCACCGTCCAGTGTGATGAAGCAGTTAAAGTGTTTTCTGTACGGGGAACCTCTTTTGAGGCTGCACCAACGAGCGGCGGCAGCGCCAGTGTGGAGAAAGGTGAGCATTTGTCCTTGTGTTTTGTCACTTAGAGTTAGGTTCTATTTTGCGGGCTGGTGTTCCACACAAGTATTTGTCAGAGCAGATTGGTAGTAATTTAATAATCTTAGCCTTTTCCTTTTAAATATTGGTACTTGGTTGTTGTTATCTGGTAGGGGAAGATACGAGTTGTCATTTCACTTCTTTCTCTTCACCCAGAAGCAGATTCTGCACAGATTATTTGTGCCTGTTTCACTCGCTGCCTGAACCTCATCCGTAGCAATCTTGGAGCTATTCCTTATTTGAAGTTAGAGCTGTTTGAATAGCTGGGTTGGTTTTTCACAGCACAAGTTGCTGGCAGTCCACAGCTTTGGTTTGATCGGTCGTATTTCAGTTGAGATAGTTCATTATGGCACTGAGTAAATTAGTGGTAGTTGAAATTGGATTGAGAACACTCCATCATTGTTTTATATCAGTTTCAGTGGTTATTTTAATGAAATCTCTGTAGCTTGGATCGTAGAGAAATCCACGGTCTCGGGGTCATGAAATTGCTTAGGTTGGAAAGGACCTCTGGAGACCCCTCTGCTCAGGCAGGGACACTGGAGCAGGTTCTCCAGGGCTGCGTCCAACTGGGTTTTGAATACCTCCACAGGTGGAAACTGGCAGCAGCTGCTCTGGGCTTCCTGTCCCAGGGTTTGATCACCTCTGCTGTTTTTCAGTGTGGGCCCTTTTATGACAGTGCTGTAAGTCCAGCAGAAGCAATCTTTAGTAATGTGCTGTGTGTCCCATACATCACCTTTGCAGTCCTCATCTCTGTCTGGGAGCCACGAGTGCATTGCCAGAACCATCATGTATTTCCTGACTTGCGCAGAAGTTAGCAGACATGCTGCTTGAGATCTGACATTGGCATATTGTCCTGTCTTTGCACTGTTTGCAAGGGCTGCTCCAAAAGTAATGCCTCCTGTTTGATCCACAACATCAGAGGTGGATTTTGGTGGTATGGCAGCAGAGGTTGTACCTTCCCCACCAGTAAACAAAACTCCATTATGTTTTGTTGCCATGTGGCAGCTGGCAGCAGAGGGGCACTCTGACAGAGCAGCTCCTGACACGGAAGTGCGTGTGAAGCACACGGGTGGAACTGAATTCATCCATGTGGAAAAAGTGGCATCCATTGATGCTTGCTGAATGGTTTTGGAGACCAGACAGTGCATGTGAGCACGGTGAGGAGTGGGTGGTGTGTTCCAGCAGTGGCAACATTGACAGTGGGTTGCCTCTGCTGGTGCAGGTTTTCACGAGTGCAGCCTAAAGGCTCTTGTTCAGTGCTGATGAAAGGACACAACTAATGGTGCTGAGAATGGTGTGTTGAGAAAAAGACTTTTGTAGCTGATAATTTGCTCTGTCAAATAATATTATCATGCTCTTTGTAGCTGCTGTAGTTTTCAAGGAAATAAACAAGAGGCATTACTTTTGGAGCAACCTACATAGTTGGCTTGATTGCCTGTCTTTTGAAAGAGCCATGGTTATTATGTTGGGTTGATACCAGTATGTTGCTTATAGAGCAGACCTTCATTTAGTGCAATCTGATGTACATAAAACTTCATAAAACAGTCTTCCACTGCAGGATAAATAACCACAGGTAATAGGGGAGGCTTGTAGCTCAGAATCACAGAGCAACTATTCATGGTAATTAAAATCTTGTGGTAGAGCTGGCTCCACAGTGAACTTGTGCATGAAGTTTAAACTGAAATTTGGAAGGTTGAAAGCACGTGCTTTATCCTTTTTCTTTGTGGATCCTTTTTTCAACCTGCTTAAAACAGTGACCCCTCCAGCACCTGTTGGTCTGTCGGAATGGATTGAGCAGAAGCTGTCAAAAAGTGACCGGCCTGAGCTTACGAGTGCAAGAGTGGTTGTATCAGGTGGTAAGTAGTGTGCTTTTGTGCATGTCTGTGATGGTACAGCTCAACTAAATGATAGGATGGGGGGAATGGTTTTAAACTGAGACAGAGGAGGTTTAGGTTGGATATTAGAAAGAAGTTTTTCACCCAGAGGGTGGTGAGGCACTGGAACAGGTACCCAAGGAGGCTGTGGATGCCCCATCATTCAAGGCCAGGCTGGATGTGGCTCTGGGCAGCCTGGGCTGCTGGTTGGTGACCCTGCACACAGCAGGGGGTTGGAACCAAATGAGCATCATGGCCCTGTTCAACCCAGGCCATTCTGTGATTCTGTAGGAAAACACTGACTTGGTACATTTTTTGAAATAGGACATAGGAGACAGTGGGGAGACACCCAGCATCTGTATATCATGAAGTGGCAGAACAGAGAAGTTTGCTATATGCTAATAGGCATTTTAAGATCGTAGCCATAATTGGTGAGCCTCTCTAAAATTACAGAGTGAAGTGTTTTTAGATGAAAGTTTGTTTGGTTTAAAATTATTCCTAATCATTGCAGGCAGCCCAAACATGATATAATGATTTTAATAATTTTAAAAGCTGTTATTTTTGTATTCTGCTCTTCGGGTTTAAATCTTTTGTTGGTTTGGTCTTTGTGCATACAGAAAGATAATGAAAGCCTTTAGTTATCCTACTGCAGAGTTTTATGCCTAAAGCCAGCAGGGGGAGCACAAAAATCCTGTCTACCTAATTTCAAAGGAGGAGCTTGATGATGCTAATAAACAGTGGGAGTGGTGTTGGTTTGTATATGTAATATTTATTACAAAGAAAAAAGCTAAATCTCACAGTGTCAAATACTATTTAATTCTGTATCCAAAGATATCCAGTGCAAACATATCCTTGTGCCTTTGCAAGTGTGGATAATAAAACAGAACATTTGTGTGTGTAACAAAAAATCCTAGAGCACGTTGTACTCTTTCTTCACCTTATTTTTGTTTTTTAACTTTTAAGGAAGAGGCTTAAAGAGTGGTGAAAATTTTAAGTTGCTCTATGATCTTGCGGACCAATTGAATGCTGCAGGTAAAGTCACCCCCCCTTTTTAGATACTGCTTTACAGAATCTCAGTTCTTATGGTGTGAGTGGTTCTTCTTGCCACGTTTTTCAGCAAAATATTCTACCAAAGGCTGGGGGGGAGGAGGAGCTGCTTGTGCTAACGTTTTAACTGCATTAGCCTTAGATTTTACACTTAGTAATCAGTAGAATTTTTGCATGAGTGGCTTTGTTTTCTAATGGTTGGCTTCACTGGTTAAATATCTGTGTGGTGCTCTTGAGTGCAGTTGGACATTTTGCTTTACTGGCTCTGACTTCTGAACTTGGTGTAAGCGATATAAGATGGCACATGTGTTCTATTAAAACTTGCTGGAACGTTATGGGAAGGCATATATGGGAAAATCCTCTTTTGACAAAGCAACAAGAAAAAATAATGGAAATATGCCAGACTGAAATCCTCACTTTTAAATATATGGCCTTTTGGTGCTGGGAGTAAGGATTTCCTGTTGCTTATGAAGTGCATTAGCATTTAGTATTTGGAAGTTTCTGCCAGTGTTATGGAGAGGGATTACTTTAAGAGCTCTTTAGAGGGAACTTTCTAAATATGTGCCCTTAATGTGTGGGACTCTTCAGTAAAATACATGTGCTTTTATGGTGGTATGAATTTGAGTTGCTAATATTTTAAAAGAAAACATTGGAAATATTTTCTTTCAACTAGTTGGAGCTTCCCGTGCAGCTGTAGATGCTGGCTTTGTTCCTAATGACATGCAAGTTGGACAGACGGGTAAAATAGTAGCACCAGTAAGTATGGAAATAGAGCTCATAAGAGAACTGCCGTGTTTGCTAGTATATGTGTTCCTTCAAAGCAATGAACTAAGTCTCTACTGAACCTAATAGGAAAACCTTTGTGTGTCTGGCATGATACTGTCACATAAACATGCATTTGCAAGAACTACAGCAGCAAGCTGTGATGTAAATCTCCACTTTAGTCCAATTAGAAGTTTCCTGCAGACAGTTTGGATAGAGGTTTTGCAAGCTAGATTTCCTTTATAGTGGCCTATGTTAATCTTCTTCTTTAGTTTTCTGACTGCCATCATTGATGAGTCAAAAGGTGTCGTTGCCTGCATAAACTTTAAATTGTGTTGATGTGTGGTGAGGTCTCTAGAAAACCTTTTTACACATAGTTTAGATCATGGCTTCATTTTTAAGTTTTGATAACTATAACTTCGTTATTGCATTACATTGTAAGCAAAATTTTTGTACGAGATAAAAACACAAGGCACTTGAGACAGAAGTAGTCTACAAGTTGGCTGCTGTGTAGTGGGGTCAGGAGAAGCATACTCCAGTAAGTGTCTTAATTTTGGAGAATAACCTGCAGTAATTCTTTCCTGCTGTGCATCCAGAGATGATGGGGGAGTGGTTTCTGTCCCCATGTGTCTTTCTGGGTCAGTGGAGGGAAGAGGTGGCTTGCTCTCCTGTAGAAGTCTGAGACACTCTTTTTGGTCCTTACGAGCCAGTGAAATGTGGAGAAATTGATATACAGATAAAACACACTTGAGCATTTGTAAAACAGGAAGGTGCAAATGGAGCTCATCTCAGTGTGTGATAGAATGTATGCTAGCATGTCCTGAAATGAAATGCTGAGTGGCCAGCAACGTGGGCCCATGTGGATATCAGATGCATGTGCTGAGCTATATAACCTAGTAAGCGTGCAGTCCTTCAGTAAGCAGTTATCTCTCGAGTGTTTATGGCAGCAGAAGGCTCTAATGAGCAACTTCTTACTTGTTCGTGGTTTAGTAAGACCATGTCAAACCAAACTATGGCTGTTTTTCCACTAATACATCAGACAAGATAGAGCTGCACTTGGAAATCTTGAAGACAGGAATTTGGGCTTCCTGCAGTCTGTTGTCAGTTCTTCCTGCTGGGTTTTCTCGGTCAGGGTACTTTGTGCCTCTCAGCTCTTCTGTCTTGAAATGTGAATGGGAATTCTTGTTGGTTTTTTAGTTAAGTCCTCATCAAGATGGAGTCCTGCTGATGATAGCCCTGCTGAAGGGCTAAATGGAGATGTTTCTAGGCATGCTAGTTGATAAAGCTGTGAATCTGTATGATATCCAACTTCAAAAACAAAACAAGGCAAACAGGATCTGAAGAACAGATGTAAAACATAAGAGTTAAGGAAGGCATAAAAGTTTGTGGTTTGTTTGCATTTTGTGTTCTTCCAAAATCTTGGTAGCTGTGATATCAGTGTCTGTGGAGCTGTACCTGTTACATATACAACCCTAACTCTTCTTTTCCTGATGTTTTTCTTTGGGTATTGAATGTAGAATCCATAGCATCACAGAATCACCAAGGTTGGAACCCACAGGATCACCCAGTCCAGCCATCCACCCATCACCAATAGCTCTCACTAAACCATATCCCTCAACACAGCATCCAAACGTTCCTTGAACACCTCCCTGGGCAGCCCATTCCAATGCCTGACCATAACACACTGTAGCTCTAACCCCCAACATAATACTTTCTCTTTGCTAAAAGAATTTTGTATTTAAATGTGATCTGCTTTCTTTGATCACACACTGGGCATTAGGTTGAGTGTGCAGCTGCACCTTGGTCTCAGCAAATTGTTCCAGTCAATCATATCAGCACTGGCACAGAAAATGTAACAGCAATGTCTGTGGAATTGTAGGTTCCACAGAAGGCAGAGTCAGCTGTCACATGCCAAAACTTTGGAAGACCAGGGAAGTATGCTGTTTGTCATTTAGCTGCATATTTTGAAAGGGCTTGAGACTGAACGTCCTTAGTTTTCTCACTACCTAAATTTCCATTAATAAAGGGGGAAATGCTAATCTGAACATAGCTCAGCTGTGGGTTGTGTGTCAAGACTCATTGGTGAATGTTTTTTCTAGAGCTGAAGGCACATAAACAGCTATATTGAAAATTAAAGAGGCTAATTTTTGACGAAGAAATAATGCTAAAGCTTACCACAGATAGATCATAGCAGTGTGTGATAGTCAGAAGAATACACAGCCACACCACAGGACCACACCAGTGTTGTCAGAAACCTCCCTGATAATGAATGGGCATTTCACTGTTGTGTCAGTAAATAATGCTACTATTGCAGGGTGCTGCGTCTTCCTGTCAGCAGTTTGATGCATTGCTCTCTCATCTTCCCATATCCTCCTTAATAACTATTAAGCAGGGAGTTATCTGAAATACTGAAAATGATGTGCTCTTTGTTTCCACTTGTTGGGTATTTCCTGTAGAAATACCTGCAGGGACAGCTTACAGTGGCTTGGAAATGTGATAATGGAACGTGGTCATGGAATGGCAGATTGAATTGATAAGCACTCAGTGTTGGTGAATAGAATGATGGTTTTTTCAGCGTGAAGAGTCAGTACCATAATTGTGAGAAGAGTCAAAGCTGCACGGTGTTGACTTCACATTCCCAACGCTCCTTTTCCTTCGCAGTCCTTTGGGTTCTTTAGCTAGAGTGTAATTCTGTGCGTTGGAAGAGAGTTCATTTGGAGTAGAACGGAACTTCCTTGGTCAGCTGAAGGTTATCTGGGCTGTTGTGCCAATCCTCTAGAAAATGACTGCTTCCTCTTCCTAGAAGAGTTCTGAGAGAACTTGGGATGCTTTGTCTGGAAAACAGCAAAGCAGCTTTGCGTGTTGATCAGCTGTATGAACAGGGTCCTGAGTCCTTCTCGTTGGTTTTGATTTCTGATCTACGCGTCTGTCTGGGCACGTGAGTTTTAAGCAGGGAAAGAATCTTGGGTGTGAGGAGCAGTTGCAGTTAGAGATGTGCTTGCGCTCCCTGCAGCTGTTGGTTTCTGTTGGGAAAGCACCTCAGTGTGTGCTCTGCTATTAATAGCCTCTGGCCCAGGCTCAATGCAGGACTGGAATGTGTTGTTTTTATAGGACTGGGACTGGGTTGGTTTTGAGCCCAGGAGGGAGAAGAGTTGGTTAGGAATTCAGGAGGAGGGGAGGTGCTTTGCTGCTGCCTTTTGCCTGTGGATGCGTGCGGAGTGTTGCTGGTCTGATCTCTGGTTAAGAAGGTAATAGTCTACAAGATCTGCTTACTTCTTCCCTTCTGCTTTTGGTTGGGAATTTGGTGAAGGAAGAATAATTTTGGTTGTTGGTCCTTCAGTAATTGCCTAACAGACCTTGGTTTTTAAGAGCACGGTTGTGGTAATGGATCACAGGACACGAGAACCTTGCAGCAGCTGTCCTCAACTGCTCACTTCGTAACACATGAACAAACTGCCAGTAGGGAAATGCCTCAGGTTGTTCTGCTTAAAATAATGATAGAATGCAGTTGATCAAGGAGGGAAGTTTCACCATCTTCCTGTTTGAGAGTTAGTCCTGTTACAGTACGTGTCCACTTCCAAAGCAGCCACAAGACTCTATCTGTGAGATTCTATCCTTGTTCATGTTGGGATTTATGCTTTTTGTTGTTGGTTAGGCATGGATTTTTGGTAATATTTCTTGTGTATAATTTTATTCCGGCTCCTAAAGCAGTGAGTGCATTATGTTTGTTTTTGTTAGTAGCTTTTTCTTGGTTTGAGCTGCTAATTTTTAGATGATTGCAGCTCTCTGAGCATTTTGTCTTGTGAAAAGGGAAGGCTGTGCATTACTTGATGAGATGGAAATGAGGACATTTCAGCATAAGTGAATATACAAAATTATGAAGTGTTACTTTATTAAAAAATAGTATATTCAGTGACTTTAATCAGTGACAAGCGTTTTGAGAGTGTGCTTTTAAAAGATCAGACACCATTTGTTTTCTATTTCCTACATGCAGGTGTTGTACATAAAGAAGAAAATTCAGTTCTCAGATTCGGAGCTGCATGCAGTTTCTGTCAAAGTAAAAAGGAGCTTGTAGGGATGTGCAGCCTGGCTGCTTTGGGATGGAGATATCCTTGTGAATGCCTTCCTATGAAGTGCTAGTAGTGGAGTTACATTCTCCCTTCAGCTTTCAGAGATGGGATCATAATGGGATCCTGTCTCTCTGTTTTTTTTGTTTCCATGAAGTGTTGTCATTTCAGGCTGTTATCCTCTGGACTTCGGAAGGATCTTCTGCTCTATGGAAGTGCATCCTTCTAGTTTAATCTCTTCAGAGTTCTAAGTCAGCATCCTTTCAGGGTTCAGCTCTCTGTCTGCTTCAGCTTTCCTTACGGGTATCCTAGCTGGCAGTGAGGAAGATGTGGCCACACCATTCTTTCACAATTATTAGAGTAAAGGTGTCCATCCAGGGTTAGCCATTGGTGGCCATGGCTGGAAGGCCTGACCTTCACTGTCCCAGGTTTTTGTCAAGGAGGGTGCAGTGCAGAGGAGCCACCCAGCCAGCCAGAGATCCATTCAGTTAGGTGTTCACTGGCAGTTGTTACTTTCAAAGCTGAGCACAGCATAGTGTTCCAGCAAGGGGTAACAAGAAACTGAGATGGAAAAATTGGGAAGGCAGGAGTGAGGAAATGTGTGATGTAGTAATAATTGACACCAGATGAGATGGCTAGAAGTGTGGTGTGATGGCACAGAATGCAGCTGCCCTTGGTCATTGATGTGCTGAGAAATCTCAGGTGAGGGAGGCACGTGGGAATTCAGTGTCAGTGCAGTTCTGGTGTGATCACTGGGAGAAAACTTGCTGACCTCCTCAGCTTCGGTGCTTGTGCTTCAGCTTCATACCAGAGGCTCTCTTTGGTCATTATAAATTGCAGGAGCATCGAAAGGGTGGTAGATTTACAACTTAGTGTGTTATGTTAGGCAGAAAATGTCGGAGTCGGATGGGATGGAAAAGAAAAGCA